GCTGATGGTCGTTCCTGGTTGAATACGGGAAAATAAGATCCGCGCTCTTTTCAATAGAATTGAGTTGAACCTCAAAGCAGTAAAACTGTTTGGAGGGGAAGTTATAACATAGTTAATTTGGCGGGAAAAGTTTATGACAGTTTCTAATAAATACATTTGTACATGTGTGCGTACATATGTATATTATTAAGTGTTAAGGTGGACCGTCTTGAATTGATTAAATAAATGAAATATTGCAATGTGGGTGTCAAACTAAAGGGTTTTAAGAAGACTTGCAATCGAAAATATGTTTGAGGTACAATATGGGTGCCAAACGAAAGGTATTTGAAAAATCTTGATTTGGAAATATTTTTAATAGGATTATCACCTCTCTAAAAGTAAAGACTGAAAATATTGACATTAAATGAAATATTACATAACTGGTTCCAAACGAAGTGAGACATTTTTTAAATCTTTCCACTTATCCAAAATCCGAACAGTTTAAATAAATATAGAATTTACAACATGTTATCAAACGAAGGGATCATATTATCAACGAAGAGCTGGTACACAAATTACTTAATTTAAAAAATTAATAAACAAGTAATTTTTAAGAAAAAAAACAACAATTTTTTCATGATCCAATGATAGGATCTAAACAAATTTAGTATGGGACCACCTGGAAATCGGTTGACGTGGTCCAAAGTTATGCGGTGACATACATAAAATAAAATATTCCGACGTATTGATAACCTTCTCCTTTTTTGAAGTCGGTTAAAAACTACTGAAACAAATAACAAAATGATAAAAGAGTAACGAAAAAAACTATCCCATGAAAGCTGCTTAAAAATACTTAATGAAAACTTAAAATTGTTGACATTAACTTTTAATCGTAAACAATTTCGTTTAAGGTCGCCATAGCCTACTACGTATATTGCGAGTAAAGAAATTTTGAATAACATGAGATAATATTATTATGATTATGATTATCATTACTATGCGAACTCCTATTCCCGATCAATGATTCCCAAATTAACGATCGCATGATGCAAATGTTAAGATAATAAGAGTTGCAGAACTGAATTATGCAGGAACATTTTTTTCAAAGAGAGTGTAATTTCTGGCGTGTGCCGATGATATCGACATCATCGGTGACAAAAATCGCGAAGTCTGTTCTGCCTTTTCCAGGCTGTATAAGGAAGCAAAGCGAATGAGCCTGGTGGTGAACGAGGACAAGACGAAGTAGTATCTCCTGTCATAAAATAAACAGTCAGCGCATTCGCGTCTTGGCACCCACGTCACTGTTGACAGTTGATAATTTCGGGGAAGTGGAGGATTTCGTTTACTAGGGAACCAGCATTATCACCGATAAAAATATCAGCATGGAACTCTCACGCAGAATCACTCTTGCCCACAAGTGCTTCTTTAGACTGAGTGCAATTCGGGAGTAAAGTCCTCTCTCGACGTAGAAAAACCACACTCTATGAGTCACTCATCATGCCCGAGCTGTCATATGGCGCAGAAGCTTAGAGAATGACACCATTCGATGAGGCGGCTCTTGGAGTATTCGAGAGAAAGATTTCGCGGAAGATTTACAGCCCTCTTCGCGTTGGCGACGGGGAATACCGTAAAGGATGGAACGATGAGTTGTATGAGACTTACAAAGAAATGTGCAGCGTGCAGCGAATGAAAATAGAGCGGCTCCGCTGGATTGACCCTGTCGTTCGAATAGGAGCCGACGTTCCAGGTCTGAAAATATTCAGATAGCAATCCGCTGGTGGTAGCAGAGGAAGAGAGAGGCCCCAATACAATGGAAAGACCAAGTGAAAAAGGACTTGGCTTCACGCGGCATTCCCAATTGGCGTCAGTTGGCACAGAGATAAACAACTGGCGAACTCGGCCTAAATCGCTTATGCGGTTACAGCGCCAAATAAGAAGATGCAAATGATAAATTACAGAGTTGGGGGGCCTTCTTCTTGGATGCGCCAGGAGGAACTAGGAAAACGTTCCTTATCAGATGGATTCTGGCAACGGTTCGATCAAAAAATTACATTACCTTAGCTATCGCTGCGTCTGGAATTGCTGCGACATTGTTCCCAGGTGGAAGCATTGCTAATTCAGCTCTTCAGCTGCCATTGAACATATAAATCATCGAAACTCCCACGTGCAATATTTCCAGAACATCCGGTATGGAAAAAGTATTACAAACATTTAAACTCATTGTCTGGGATGAGTGCATACATAGTCGAACATCAAAAATCGCTTGAGGTTCTTGATCGATTGTTGCGAGATTTGCATGGACACATTCAACCATTCGGGAATGTATTGATATTTCTCGCAGGAGATTTTACGCAAACACTTGGGTTCACAAGGTGTCGTACGTGTCGTATTGTCGTATGTTGTAAAGTTTTTAACGGCTAAATAAATGTTTAGAGGACTTGAAATCACCACCAACTATTTTTTAACGGTGTGCAATTTCATAATAAAACTTGTATGTTAGCTTGCGAATTCGTTAAATATAGTTTTAGCCGTTTAAAGTTTATGACATACAACAGTACGACAGTATACAACACCTTGTGAACTCCCTAACTGTCTGCAGTTTCTCGATTAACACTAGCGGACGAGATAAAGGCTTGTCTGAAATAGTCAACATTGCGACAAGACGAACATACATCCACTGCAGCTGACTTCTCGCGACAATTACTGGGCATTGGGAACGGAAAGCTGGCAGTCAATGAGAGATTAAGACGAATTTTATTGCCTGATAATTTTTGTACTTTATTAAGAAAATTAATTATAGGAATTACGACTGGCTCCGTGAACGAGCTATGCTTTCTGCGAAGAACAAGGATGGTAATCAACTAAATAATAGTGGTATTGGCAACAGTCGTTGCTTGAGCAGATCTGCACTTTCACCAGACTGCCAGGCCTCTTGCTCACTTTGGTGAATACCTCTAATATTATTCAATCCAACATTCAAAATGAGGAAATAACATATACGTCGATAAACACCGTTGTGGAAACAGATGAAGCAGTAAGTTAAGAAATTGATGAAGAACGTACTGTAAGCAAAGATTTTAACGTGGCCTTTCAAAGTTGAAGAATTCCCGTGACTCCGACTGATACACCATTTCAATTTAAAATATTGCAATTCCCAATTCGATTGGCACTCGGAATCGCAATCAATAATGCTCAAGGTCAGCCTTTGGAAAAGTGTGGTTTAGATTTAGATGCGGATTGCCTCCCAGATGTTGCATGTTCCCGTGTCGGCAAACCAGTTATCCTTAAAATGTATGCAGAGAATGGAAAAACGACAAATATTGTGTGCACACAAGTACTTATTACAAAATAAGACTAATATGAAACTACTTTAATTTCAATGATAACTAATTGAAATTCTCACTATTTTAACTGTAACGAACTCGTTTATTTAAGATGGCGATGTCCTAGGAACCAGTCAACTGCCTTTTCCTGCATGTATTTTCAACTACTTTAAAATTAATTTGGCTTAAACAACTTCAAAGTCAGTATGTTTCGTTTGAATACGCTTTCACAGATGCTTTTTCATAAAGAAAAACGGAAGTTAAAAATTTAAAATTAAATGAGAGTTGAACACGAACGTTCTTGGCTGCGTCCAATTGTAGTTGAATTGTGTGCAAGCAGCAAATCGACTGTCTGACTCTGCATTTAATTTCAACTACTTTAAAATTAATTTGGTTTACACAACTTCAAAGTCAGTATGTTTCTTTTAAATACGCTTGCGTTCTAGACTTCACAGATGCTTTTTCATACTTCCAAGACACACATTTTTTTTTTGTTGAGCAAAAAGAGTATAAAAATTTGAAACATTTACTAATGGCATTTGTTTTAAAGTATCCTTTCAATTAGTTAATTTAAAAAATCACTAGTTTCCTTCAGGGTTGGTACTAAAAGTTAGAGCAGTAGTGATGTTAATCTCCGACCTAAATATGTATTTATGTATATATGAAAATAATAATTTGTATACGTATTGAGTAGAGTATGATCTTGGCAAAATACCAAAGCTAAAGTTAAATACCAAAAGTAATGCATGTGGTTTTTAGAATAAAGAAATATCCAGATTTTTAGACCACGAGCACCCCGATTTTCGGGGATTAGAAAATATTACATTGACTTGAAATCTCGCTTTCGACCAGACTTAACATTGGTATTGATAGATAACTTACACGCCATGGCATATGCGCGATATTTGCATTCTCTCGGGCGTGCTTGCTCACAGAAATTACGTTTCTGAAATTTTTCATATGATGTGACCATCAGAATAGGTTGTTCAAAGATATTTCATCTATGTATAATATTACTAAGGAACTTTCAAAAGGACAGCCCGTCTGAATTATGTTGACCTATATTTGCAACAATGCACTTTCAACATGGGCTGGCAGTAATTTAAGACCACTAGAATCGGCAGGAACCCTTGAATTCATTTTCTATATACTATAAATAAAATTCTGCCAAAATTTCAAGTCATCTGAAGTATGTTGAGTAACCGGTTTAATTGACATCTTTAATAGCTAAAAACGCATGGTCAAGACCACTGTTCCGCAGCCAGCCCTCCGGTTCTCGATTTATATATTAACAAGCTAAGCTCACAAAAAATTTCATTCGATCTGAAGTATTATGAGTTTTTTGGTCATGAGCTCTTGGTCTATTATGAGTAAATCTGCATCATTTGCCCATTAGCGTTGAGTTTTAATCATTCTTACTTGCTAACGACCCTTTACAATTTTTCTCTTATAAACATGAAGGTTTTATGGGAGAAAGAGTGCAAGACCGTTCATAAACAAAATGAAACAAATCTAATTTGTAAAAATTGTATTCCTTATAAACAATATTCTTATAAAACCAAATTAAATTAACAAAAAATTTCAGTTTGAAAATCATTTTAAATATTAAAAAAATAACCTTTTGACTGTCACTTTAAGCATTTTGTTATATGTTTGTTTCCTGTCTATTCAAACTGTCCTATCTATTCTTTTTTTCAGAAGATAACCATAGTTCACAAGGAAGTTTGTCTGGAGATGGTAAGTTTATATACTGAGAATGTATGTTCATTAGGGTGGTACAAAAAAATGCATGTGAAAAAGTGGAGTAGGAATTTTTATTCTCTCACCACTAGGATTGTTCTATACCGATAAAAAAAATACGCCCTTGTTCTTAAATTTTTTTACCCGAGCGCACTTGAGCACAAGGGTATTATAACTTTGACAGATATAGACAAATGTATACCTAAATGATCAGAATGAAAACAAAAATCGATCTGTCCATCCGTCCGTCTGTGCACACGATAACTCGAGTAAAAATTGAGATATCTTAACGAAACTTTGTACGTGCACTTCTTTTGGGCGTAGAACGCATGGTGTTGAAAATGGGCAAAATCGGACAATAACCACGCCTACCTCCCATATAACAGTAATTTTCAGAAATACGAAAAATGCGATATTTTAGTAACTACTAAAGAGTATTCGCGGCATACAAAATGACCGACAATTTTTAAAATCGGACAATAACCACGCCCACATCCCATATAACGGTAATTTGGACAAATACGAAATCTTCGATAAATCAGTAAATACACAGGTTTACAAAAAAAAAGCGTATGCATATTAAACCAAACCTATATATCCCTATGTTGTTCCNAGGTTTTACATTCGCTGAACCCGAATCCGAAGTCCGTTAACATCCATAATGTCAGCTTCGAGGTCATTTGAAGGTAAAATAGGACATAAAATTTATTCAATAAAAATTAAAAAAAAAAAATTGTTTTTGTTGTCACTGAAACCGAGTATGGAGGTCCCTTGATTCCTCAAGGTCATCTGGAGGTTATGCCAAGGTCATCCCAAGGTCAAATTCCGATGAATTTTATTGAATTTTCAGGTTTATTCAATGAATTTTTCCCTACTTGACCTTCAAATGAGCACGAACCTGACGTGATGGAGGCTAACGGACCTCGGATACGCATTCAGCATGTCGAATAACTAAGGAATATATAGGTTTGGTTTAATATGCATACACTTTTTTTTTGTAAACCTGTGATATGAAAGCTAATTTATTCAAAATTGATGCTTGCAACAATTCTTTACCAAGAAATACGTTTATGATAAAATTTTGCAAAATGGGCGTGGCACCGCCCACTTATGGTCACATATATGTATCTCGGTAACCGTTCTATCAATTTGTACCAAACTCGGTATGGTTATTGTCCTTGCCACATAGAAGCAAACCGTTGAAAATTATTGAAATTGGACTAAAATTGAGGCCGCTTTTCATGTAACGGTAAATTTCAGAAATGCTTGAAACTTCAATATTTCGAAATTTAAGGACGCTAATTTACTCAAAATTGATACACCCCGGCTTACCATGTAGCGGTAGCTTTCGGAAAGGTGAAAATCATACATTTAATACCGGGTATTTAATATTCGGTTCCGCCCGAACTTAGACTTATTACTTGTTTAATAAAAAAATATTTAGAAGTAGCTCAAAGCGCTCAACGTTTTCCATGTATCTTATATGGGGAAAAAACAACCTTTCGTAGAAATGGTATATGAGATTCCCAATAACAAGACGAAATTAATTTATGTAACCATTTTTTCTAGCTTATACTTTTCTAAAGGTTTTCGTTGCGCTGAAGCTGAATCAAAATCAGTTTTGCTCGATTGGCTTAGGTTTTCGAGATATTTGAGCCTAAACATCGAAAAACCCTATTTTTTGCTATATTCTTCATGTATTTTCATCAAGAATAGTTTGTTTTTTTTACAAAATTAAAGAAATCATTTGAAAGCAAAATAGTTCCCTTTGATAATGCTGTTTAACTCAACCATATATCTTGTTTTAAACCTGAGATATTGTCCATTGAAGTTTATGAGTTTTGCGACATTACTTCTTTGCACAAATGCTTGAAAGATACAACACGAAAAGAAACAGATTTGTGTTATACGTTTAGGCGTCTTTATTTGCATAATGTATGTATGTGTATATGTGCGCGTACATAGAGAAAACTTATTTCGTTTAAGAATTTAACGAAGAAATGAATGCATGAGAAATTCTCTAGGAATTTCATTTGATATTATATATATGTGTGAAGTACATGATATACATATATAATTATGATATGGGTGTTTCCAGCGGAAGGTCCACCACGACAAAAAAAATTAAAGTTTTATATGTAACGTATTTACGGGCCGATTTGTCTGCTTTTTAAAATATATACTGGCTATGTAAGTAGAATCATGTTTGCATAAAATGGTCTTCCTAGGTAGTGCCAAGGTCGAGATATTTTTTCAAAAACCGTATTTATGGTCCGATTTGGTTCGAATTTGGCGTATGTGGTTGAAACATAATAAATCATAGATTTCTAATAAATTGACCCTGAATTGGCGCTGAAGTCAAAATGTGAAGTATATTCTACATAAAATACATGTTTTATTTGCGTTGAAAATTCATTTAAAAACAATATTAACAAAAATATAACGATAGAAATTTATGTCACGTGACGCCACGTCACGTCACGTTTGACACTTTGGGTTGTAAAAGAGAATTGAAACAATTTGCATTAATTAAAAAAACTCTAAAAACAACTAGAACTGCTCCAAATCATATTAAAATAAGTTTCACGAAAATAGCCATCCACAATTCGCAGAGTTTTGCGATTTTGTAAGAAAAGAAAAAATCAACTTCCATTTTTTGTCACGTAACAACACTCTCTTCAAATGCTTATATTTCAGGACCAAGCAGTTCGATTGATTTCATTTTTCGGTTAAATATGATATACATGATATATAATATACATAATAATATACACATACATTCATTATGTAAATAAAGACGTCTAAACGTGTTGTATCTTTCAAGCACTTGTGCAAAGAAGTAATGTCGAAAAGCTCATAAACTTCAATGGACAATATCTCAGGTATAAAACAAGGTATCTCGTTGAGTTAAACAGCATTATCAAGGGGAAATATTTTACTTTCAAATGCTTTATTAAATTTTCTAAAAAACGAACTATTCTTGATGAAAATACATGACGAATAAAGCAAAAAGTCGGGGTTTTCGCATGTTTAGGCTCATATATCTCGAAAACCTGAGCCAATCGAGCAAAACTGATTCTGGATTCAGATTCAGCGCATCAAAACCCTTTGGAAAAGTGTAAGCTGATCCCAGGGTCTGAAAAATGTCGGCCTGTGTAATTTATAAGTCCAATGCAATGGGGGATAAATTAAAATTCTTTAGCATTAAAAAAATGGTTAAATATACAATGGTTTATTGTTACTGGAGGTCTCCTGAAGAGGACCAGAGTTTTCCGATCGAAAAATATTTTTATACCCGAGCGCACTTGTGCACAAGGGTATTATAATTTTGTACAAGCTGTGTTTAATATTTTGTTACTTCATTTAACACCCCCACTTAACAAAATACAATCTAAAGTTTTTTCTATTGTAACTTAGAATTATTTGTGGAGGCCATACATTTCCAAAAACTTATAATGTTTTACAGAGTTCATTCCTTTTGTAAGTAAATCCGCAGGCATATCTGCAGTTGGCATATATTCAATCCTAATGATTCCATCGGAAATCTTTTCTCTACAAAAATGAAAACGTACATCAATATGTTTTGATCTCTTATGAAACACGGGATTGGCGCATAGTTTTTGTGCAGATTGGTTATCATTAAAAATAGGTATAGTGTAAAATTCGTTAGTGATCTCGTGCTGCAAATTTCTTAAATATATGGCCTCCTTACAACAATCAGATATGCCCATATATTCGGCTTCTGTACTGGATAAAGCAACAGTACATTGCTTTTTAGTTTCCCACGAAACTGCACAACCAGACAACTTAAAGAAATACCCGGTATAAGATTTCCGGTCTACCGAGTTACTAGCCTAGCCTGCATCTACAAAGCTTTCTAATTCACAGTTACCATATGCTGAGTATCTTAAACAATAGCTTTTAGTTTTTTTAAGTACTTCAAATTCTTTTTGCATAAGTCCAATGTTCTTCATTGAAGCAGTTATTAAATTGACTCAAATAGTTAATTGAAAATACAATATCTGGTCTAGTAAGTAGTGCCAAATACATTATACTACCTATTAATTGTTGATATGGTAAGCTTTTGTCACAAATTTCGCTTTTACCTAAACTCAATTTTTGTTCGATAGGTGTATCTATTGGCTTACCATTCATTATATTAAATTTTATCAAAAGTTGATCAATATAGTTTTCTTGATCTAAAGTTATTACATTGTTATTTTTATCTATATGCACTCTCATACCCAAACACTGTTTTAAACGACCTAAGTCTTTAATTTCAAATGTTGATGATAAACTTGCTTTCAATTTTTCGGTTTCGCGTGGACTATTAGAAAAAACAAAAAAATCATCAACGTACAATGCTACAATAATTTTGACTTTTGCGTTAATTTTAGTAAATAAGCAAGGTTCTAAATTAGATCTCTTAAAATTCATTTTGTGTAAAAACACCAACTCTTTCATACCATTTTCTTGATGATTGTTTAAGTCCATATATAGCGCATTTTAACTTCAATACTTTGTTACAACTTTTATTATTATCTTGTAACCCTGGAGGGATTTTCATAAAAACAGTCTCATCGAGATAACCATTTAAAAATGCTGTCTTTATATCAAAATGAGATATATCTAGTTTTAATTGAACTGCTAAGGCGAATAAAAGTCTCAGTGCTGAATTCCTTAATACTGGGGAAAACGTCTCATCAAAATCGATACCTGGCTTTTGCGAATAGCCTTTTGCAACTAGTCTAGCTCTATAACGAATACTATTATCGCTCTCTACCTTTTTCTTAAGTACCCATTTACACTGCACTACGGTTCCATTGGACGGCATATCAACCATTTCCCATGCATAATTTTTCTCGAAAGATTTAAGCTCGTCATCCATGGCTTGCTTCCACTGAAAACTCTCTGGTACATTCAGCACTTCGTCGAGAGGTATTTGACAACAACTGTTGTCTTGTTCAACTGCACACACATTGCCATAGCCATACCTT